ATGAAAAACTCATTTAACTCATAAATTATGCACTAAAAAACAAATAACTCATCATTTTTATGCGCTCGTCGAAGTTGGAGAACTCCGTGGAATGTGCGGGTGGTATGGAGTGTGGCCTGCAATGCGGGTGACACTTGGCCATAAATACACTCGTGCAAAAATGTTGCTAGACAAAGTCGTAAAACAGCAGCGAGAGCGCAAACTTTGAGACAAGCAATAAAATCCTTGCCCCCCCCAAAGGGATGCCAACTGAACTTTAAGTGCCACCCCCGGCAAGGTCGCAGCGACAACTAAACGTTTGGTAATTGAAAACTGTAATTTCGAGTACTTATAGTTGGGCCAACAAGCAGACGAACTTTAAAAACATCACTCGGATTTTCTAGGAATTTGTTAAACATATTGGTGGAGCAACCGGAAATTGATATAGCTGGGAAGCGAGAAATTGCTCAAGTTTTTCATGAAATTCTTATGAACTTTTAAGGGCGAGTGTGAACTTAATCGATGAAGTTATATTTAATATATTTTCTTTTCAACTTTGCAGTTGAAAATTAATTCTTTTCTTTTAATCAAACAATTTAATAAGTTATTTTGTTCTTCTTATTCCTTTTCTCGTCTTTACTCGTCGTTTTGCTCTCATAATCGTCGCCTTTTACTCGTTGCTTTTATTCGTTGCTTTTCAGCTTTATCTTTAGCAGAATTCGTTACTCTTTGTGTTTATATTTTGTATTACTCGTCGAATTAACTCGTTGGCTTTACTAATCGCTTTCTTAGGCTTTACTCGTCATATTTTAAGCTCGTATTTCTTAACTCGTTGCCTTTACTCGTCCTTCTACTCGATATTCTCAAATGGTTTCTGCCTAGGGTAACTCCCATCAAAAATCTACCCAAATTCCCCCTAATCTTCTGCGAATATTTTCGCTTGGTTGTAAAACAACAATGATCGGGCTGCGAATGATAAATGTATGTGTTCGCTGGTGGATTCTGTATGCATGCTCTGCTTTACATATCTGGGCATTAATATAAGCACACTCGAACACATATCTTGAGGCGGCCATTTAGCAGTATTTAAAATTTATGACCTGACTATTAAGTGCGTATTAACTGAATGCTTTGTGCATGCCATAAACTTGGGCCGCTGGCAAATAATGCCAAAGGGGGAGTGGCGGTGGGAGTGGAATTTTTCGTATGACAAAGAGCTTAAAGGGCAACTTTGGACGCTTTTATAAAAATTGTTGCCACTCTCGTTGTAGCTCTTTCTGTCGCCGCTCTCCCTCGCTACCTCTCTCGTGTGGCAGAAAGTTGCCACAAAAGTTGGCAAAAGTTTGAAACTCACCTTCTTTGTTACCTGCAATTGAGAGATTTTTTTCTCCCGCAATCGCAATGAATGATGCGGTGGCCAAATGGAATGGGGGGAAATGCCATGATGCAGTTGCAACTGGAGCGGAATTGCATTAGCTAATCAAACGATGTCCTTTTCACTTGTCAACGCGGCCAGGATGCATGGATGAATCCGAGTGTCGCTCTGCTGCTTTGCTAATTACTCCCCTGAATCCTTTTAATGCCATTACGGGTCCCCGTTATCCTGCCAGTGCGGTCAGCCCGGTGTAATGAACCGCACATTAGAGCCATGCAGCTGCTGCCTGTCGGCGATTGGCAATCGGCCGTTGGCAGTCGACAGTCGGAAGTCGATGGTGGCCATGAGAGAGTCGATATACGGCGGCAATCGACAGTCTCGACTGACTGACTTACTGCCGCTTCCTTGGCACGCACTTCGAGTGCACCACAAATTTCCCACAACGAAGCGATTGACTAGAGGAAGGGGAGTCCTTTGCTGCAGGGAGAGAAATTAATACAGGAGTTTGAAAAATTTTAAATAATTTATACAGGAGAGAAATAAACCTTTGAAATTACTAATTAAATATTTTAATTAATATCCATAACTTAATATTTGCTATATTCAACATTTTTTACTAAAATTCTCAAGTGGTTCAAGTAGCACGTACTCAAAATATAGAATATTTATGACGTTTCTTAGGTTGTGACACCCTCTCTATATTTATTCAATGAAAACATTCTCATATAATCGTCTTAAAATTTACAAAAAATATTTATATTTAAATTTTTTTATTCTTTATTTTATGAAATTTTCAAAACACCCTATTTCCTCACAGTGTACCCTTCCAAGGAGGAGTTCCTTGCTAACTTCGTCCTGCCTGCTTGCAGTTCAATTGAATTTCAGTGCAAAACTTCAGCAGGACTGCCTTGCAACACACTTCCACTCCCACTTCATCCCCTTTACACCCACTCTCACACATCAGACTCACACCGATAGCATTTATTTTATTTTTTCTTGTTTTTTTTTTTGTTTATTTGGTGGAAAAGTTTTCACCAGCCTTCCACTACCCTTCCTCCGCTTTACGCCCTTTTTGGCGTGGCCCATGGCTTGTTGTGCCGCTTCGTCGATTACGTTTGGTAATTTGCTTTATGTTCGTTTGCTTTGGCTCTTTTACTTAAAATAAATTAGAAATTATTGGAGCATTTTGATGCTTCAGCCTGGGGCTCCAAGGGTGAGTACTCGATTGATTCGGAATTTCGGTCATAAATATGTAATCGGCTGGGAAACAGACTGAAAGGCAAACAGAAGCAGCTTTTTGGAAATCAAATTTAATATAAATTATATATTACCTGGGAAAGGGAATAAAGCTTTAATCAGTTTTATAAATATTTATAATATTTAGTATATAGAGAGTATAGCAGTGTGTGATTTATTTTCTTTGCTTTAGACTTAATATTCAACAGTTGAAAGTATATACAACCCCTAAGAAACTATACAACAGCTTGTAACTGATCTGGGAAAAGTATCTGAGCTTCAAAACTAATTGATTTGTTTTGTTTTTCTCTTGAAGTTTTCCATTCACACTGGCTTTTGGAAATTTATTCAGTGGGTTTTGAGTTTCTTTTGGAAACTAAAAAGCCAAATGAAGTTTAATTAAATAAGGAGAACAAGTTTTGGGCAGCACAACTAGAACTAGAACCCTATGATCCTTAAAGCGCATCCTTATCGCTGTCTGTGTATGTATGTGTATCTGTGGCAATCAATGGATATTGTTGTGCTTGTCGCTGGACCCCAAAATTTGCAAATTCAAAATCAGAGTGCATGCCATAGACCAATTTGTATTTGCGTAATTAAGAGGCTGCCACGCCATGCCACACCACACCACGCCCCGCCCTGCTAATTGCCCTCGATGCGTCTCGTCGTCGTCGGATGGTTCTAATTAAAACAATATACACTTGCTGGATAATTTGGGTTCCAATCCGATTGGGCCATTTAAGCGCATCTTATTAAGCGACAGCTCCTGGGCCAGTCCCCCCTGCCAACTATCCTTGTAAAGTTCTCTGAAAAGTTTTTCTCGTTCTCGCTCCTTTTATGTCCTTTTATGGATGCCCACTGAGGCATTTGTGCCATTGCGACCGCAATGATAGTGAAAAAATAGGAGTAGTTAGCTTAATTTCTTTGCTCGAGTAGTTTTTCTTGTCCACAGAGAGACAGAGGCAGAGGCGAAACTGAAACTGAAAACTAAGAGAGAGTCTGGGAAAACACACCGCAATGAGTTTGATAATAGTTTCAAGTTATTAACATTCATTTTTTTTATAGCATTTTCCTCCTCACCCTCGGGTAAAATCGTTTCTATCAGCGAAAATGTTCGGCGAAAGTTTTGAAATAAATTATTTTCATGATAATGAGTGCATTAATGGAGCTGGGAGCTAATTAGTGCCCCCGCCGCAAAATGGTAAAAATAATTTCTTTGCTGAACTTGTGCCATATGATAATTCTATTGCGAATCTAATCAACTGGATTTGAGTTTTTAAGTATCTTCAGGGTGAGCTTTTTGGGGAAGGATGTTAGCGGGTTTTGGCACAGAAAGCTTTTTTGTAGGTTGTGTGAGGACTCTAAGCTAACGAGTGGGGTTTCCTGGGTGGGAAAATGATTCTGGAAAAGCTTTTGTTGGGGGTTTTCTACATGAAAGTTTATACATTGATTTTGAGCTTTGAGGGAAGAGTTTATTTTTGGGAATTATATTTAGTACATGAAGGAAATAAAAGGAAAAGAAAGAAGACTATTATTTATTATTATTAATATTTCTTTGTTTTAAAATTTGATTTAAAATTATTTCAAAAATTCAAGGTCTATAATTTGAATGCAAAAATTTAATTTCAGTATATTTTCCTTAAAAAATCATCTCTCTTCTGTTTTAAAAAATGTTTTTTTTTTCAATTTTTTGTTAATAATAATTACTCAAAAAATATTTAAAAAATAAAAACACCATTTCTAAAATCCTTTTTGAGAAGTAGATTTTATAGAAGTTATTTATAAACTCTGTAAATGAAGAAGCTTTCTTTGTTTCATTAAATTTAGTACAATTTATTTAACAACCCATCTTCTTAGACCTTCAAGCTTTTTCTAGCTTTTCCCTAGTAATTTTACAAGTAGAAATCAAGCAACGAAAATACACTTGAAAAATATAAATCAAATTCAAATAACCCCTTTACATATATTTAAATTTCCTCTCGTTTTTGTTAGCCACCAAAATGAACCCATGTTAACCTTATAAATCTCCCATATTATTAGTATTATTATGAACCAAAATGGCTTACCATATATACGTATGCACTTACCCCATTTTCAGGTTAAATATGGTTCACAACTTAAGGCGCTTATCTGGAACCAGGACCTGCAGACACATAGAGAGAGAAGCCACCGAAAAAAAAAGAAACCAGAAAGGGCTTTAATACCTCAATTGACATGACACACAATAAACTTGGCAATCAGGTTACCGGATTATGGTTCCGAGGCGATACCAAAAACGACCAATTGAATTAAGCGCATTAAATCTGTGCCAGTCATGGAAAGTCAAGGGAAAGGAATCAACCAGTCATCGAGAGATTTTTTACCAAAAAAGAGAGACTTGACTTATCCTTTTAATTTGTCACATCAAGTTTATTGTTTATTGAAATACCGAATATGGCTTTATGCTTTAGTTGTATAACTACATATTATATATAATATATAATACATACAGTATATATAGTCTTGATAACATTAAGTTAAAACATTTAAAAACGTTTAATAGGTTCTGGCTTAAGTTATGGCCTGGCTAAAATATGTATCCATCTAAACACATATAAAACTTATACACTTATTATCATAGAATGCTTACATCAAAGATAGAATGAAGCTCAAGTCTTTATAGTTTTTTTTTTTTTTTTTTATTTTTTTGTTTTGTTATCGGGGAAGCAAATATACACATATCATGGTTCTATATACAAGCAGGATATTTTGGAAATTTACACAGTATATAGTTAATTATTTGTTTTTCCTTTTTTGGTAGCCAACTAACCGAAATCAAGCCCTCAACCAGACTGGTATTGAGCCAGTTTGCCTCTCGCTTGGAATCACAATTACTCTTAGCCGAAATGTCGCCAGGAGGGGTCTCACTTTAGAAGTGCCGCCCCTGTCGTCCATTCGTTATAATGTAGCACACGATTGTCGATTATCTTAGGTAGTAATTAGGATAATCTAGGTTTAATTCACACTGCCCACCGACTAGGTGGGGTGAACAGCTTAAAATTCTACAAATCTGTTGAATCCCCGTTTGAAATGTCCTAGAAATATCTAGATATATCAGGGCTGCCACTTAAATCTCTGGTAATAAGAAATCTCTTAAAAATCATATCCAGAAGTAGGCTAAGAAAATTCTTTCACCCATTAAACTTGGCCTACTTTAAGACGCCTTTGTATTACCTTACTTTCCAAGGCAACCCTAATTATTCAAGATATTTCCCTGATCAAATTTATATGGTTTCTATATCTCTTAAAAATTTCTGACTGATTCAACTTAACAAACATTTCACCATTACTTCAAAATGTGTCAATGATTTGCTGATATTTTTTGTTGCTGAGCAAGAAACACGCAATTATTTATATTGTAATCGGAGGTCTCTTAGCTTTGTACTGCCGCCTATGACACATGTTGTTGGCCGATCGATTAGGAAAATATATATTTATATAGTATGTATATGTATTTACTTTAATCTCATTACCGATTCCCGCTGCGGCTTACAAAAATAAATTTCTGTGTGCTTCGCCGGATATTCTCAGCGTCTCTGATATGCTTTTACAAATATGTATGCGTGTGATGTGTAGGTAGGAGAGGAATTCTCAGGATACATCTTGGGGATAACAGATGAACAACCGAACGTGTATGTATGTGTGTATCTTAGAGATATTAACTGTACAAGCGTCTTTGTGTTTCAGTATTAATTAGGGCATAAATCACGCACGGCGCTTCTCCTTTTACTTGCCGGAACTCGGATCCCGGAGTGAGCGCGTGGAGGGCAGACCCCTCAGACCCTTCTCAAGTTTGTCGGCATCGCCAGCCGAAAAGCGGAAATTCATAGCCTGTCCCTGGCCCTGTCCCTGGCTCACGCCCAGCAGGATGGGTCGCGAGTTCCGTCGCGGTCCCAGCAGCTCCACGCTCTCCTCCTCCTCGTCGGCGCCGTAGGTCACAGCCGTCAGTCCCGCCACCGGCACTGGGGTCTTGGCCGGCGGCGAATACTCGGCGGTGGCCTCTGACAATCTACGATATTCGCCACTCCGCGAATTCTGTAGCTTCCAGGAGGCCCTCCGGGTGGTGGCCACACTCTGGCTACTCTGGCTGCAGTGCACCGAGGCATTCGTCGTGGTCAGATTGCCAGTGCTCTGGGACACTAGGCAGCTGTTCGAGCTGGAACTGCTGCTGGACAGGCTGGAGTTGCTGCCGCTGGTGCTCTTTCGTATGCTTCTCTTTGAGGAGCGCTCCGGGACAGCCGCTGGGGGCGGAGTGACCTCCGCTGGAAGCACAGGAACTGAACTCTGCTCCTCTGTGGGACTCAGCAGGGCATCTGTGCTCTTGCAGCAACTGTGATGGCTGGCCGAGTGCTTCATTGTCCACCGAAAATCATTGGAATTCTCATCATCCAGAGGAGGGTAAACGCGACCTGCAGGCGGTGCCCCACTCGCCGAGGTTATCAAACGCTCCTTGGAGCTGGCCAAGTTGGTATCCGCCGGCGAGGCGCACTCGTCTATCGTGTTGAGTGGTGAGATTTGCAGGGTTTGCTTTTGCTGCAGGAGATCCATTTCGTTTTTGATGGCGGGTTCGATGCCCAGAAGACCCAGGACCAGGCGGGGATTGGCCAAGACAAAGCGTTCGAAGGTGGGAAAGTCAATGCGATAGAAATCTGTTTGACAACTCCGGCTGGTGGTGCTCTTGCTGGGCTCCACTGGCGAAGGAGAAGGAGCCTTGGAACTTGCCGTATTGCTGGTGGGCAGCTGCACATCTCGACCCCACACCTCAGGAGGATGCGATGAGCTCCTCTGCATGGCCGCCATTTCGGCAGCACCCAAAACACCCATGTGTCCCAGAAGGCCATGCTCTACGGCATCACCCACCCTGGTGGCCGGCATGGCACTAATATTGGGTATGGATCTGGCCGGCGGGAACTTCAAGCTGCTGTGCGAGGTCATGGCGTTCGAGGTGAAGGTCATCTCCTGCAGGGCACTAATGGCATTCCGCACCTCGGCACTCAGCTGGGCCACATCCTGATGCAACGTGGAGACTTGGGAGTCCAGGCGCTCCAAGGAAGGCCTCTTGCCCTGCGACTGCTGCTCCTCTTCGAGGGGTTCGGGTTCCTCAAAGGATCCTCTGTCCAGACTGCAGGCTGCATTAAGTGTCCGATGCCGCTTATTCGTTTCCCTCAGGGTTATCAGGGACCTGCCACGCTGATGTAACCTCTGATTCCTGGGACTTCCCATGCCCAGAAGAGGCGAACGAGCTGCATGAAGCGGGGAGTTGGTTAGATTGTGCAAAGGAGAGGCACCACTTCCTGCTCCTCCCAAGACATCCTTATCGCCCTTGCCATTCTCCTCGGCCTCCTCGCGATTCTCATCATCCTCCGAGATGCTTGGCAGGGGAAATGAGGGCCCAATGTCCGAGTCCTGGTTCTCGTAGCCCTCCCTCAGGTTGAAGGTGAGATCATGCTGGATGTCATTGGCGAACTGCTGCTGGTACTCCGGATACAGGCGTAGCACCTCCACCAGACCGCCCATGTGGATGCACTTTAGATCGCAGTAGGTGAGCGCCTGCGAGAGAGTGGGAGAAAGGAAAATGGAAAAACATGTGAGAATGGGAAATGAAAACTCGTGGCAAGTAAGTCAAAAGCCGTTTTCACGTTAAACGATTATGCACTTGGGTTGGAGGAGAGCGGAGGGGGCGTGGCAGCTGTTGTTTGTACGCCCATAAACAAGATGGAAAAAGCTTAAACAGCGTGTAAACGCGGCAGGGTAGCTCAAGGATAATGAGGCTAGGAGGGTGGTTTGTTCCTTAATTCTTTCTTAATTTTCACAATGAATAGATTTTTTAATTGGAAGTATTTTAAACTATTTTTAATAATCCTTGAACTTGGGAACAGCAATAATTCTTGTACTTTAATTTCCTGATAGATTTTCTCAGGATTAATTAAATAATATCCCAGTTAAACCATATTTTCCTAGATATACCTTATATAAACAAGGGAAATTCCTAAAAAAAAACTACCCTTAATGAAGTATTTCCTCGCTCGAAGGACCCTTAGGGTATTCCCTATTCGACTTTCCCCCTTATTATGTCCTTTTCTCTTGGTAATGTTGACGCCTTGGCGTCTTCTTTACAAAACTCGAGTGCGCCATCTTGGCGTTTACACACTCTCTCCACATACACACTTCCCGCACAGCCCCCCCTACACCCTTCGAGGCAAACAAACACCCTTGCTGGCGCCTCAAGTATCACTCATACGACCCGTTCGCCGTGTTGTTTGCACGAAGTGGCGGAAGATGGCAGATGCTGCTCGCCAGTGTCTGCACTTTATTCCGCCAAGGCAGACATGCAAATAAACACGAGATAAAAGCAAAAGGTAAATGAAGAAAATACAGAAAACAAAGGCAGTAACAAAGAGGGTATTTCCTAAGGAAGAAATAGATGGCGGGGGCAACTATGCATAAATTAAGCACATTCCTCAGCTAATTAAGCTACAATCAAGTTTTAAATTCTTCGCTTAATTATTGCCACCCCGCCAGAAACCTGCCAGACAATTAATTAGGCGTGAAGCTTTTGAAACCTGAACCGCCCCGAGATTATTGCCATAATTAGTAAGAGTAAACGAGTAATCGTAGACGAGAGAGAGAGAAAGGGAAACCAAACCCAAGCCTCAGACACTCAAGCCCCATTGACTTTGAGCCAAAAAAAAAAAGAATGTAACAAAAAAGAAAACAGCCAGGAATGCCAGGCGAAATTCAAACTGCTGTGCACTCATCTTGAAACCTCTCAGAACTTCTAACTCAGTCCCTCTGTTTGGGCCAAGATAAAGTTTACGACAAGCAACAACGGGCTTAAACTGCAGCTAGCCTAATCTTTAAAGAGCCTCGGAGACCTCGATAAAAATATAATTAAAGTTAAGAGAGAACTAGCAGACAGGACTCACATGTGTAGTCCATTTGCTGGCTTAAATGGTCAGTGTTCAGCGCATTCACTGGATAAAAATAAGGTACCTTTTGTATATTAAATTAAACAGGATATTTCTAGGAAGGACCTCCTTTAATTTCCCTCTTTTTTTTAATACCTTAAGCTTGTATATTAAACCAGGCCTTCCTTTCATAGAAAATATTAAAATAAACTCGTGTCTCTCATTGAAAATTAAAATCCTCTTTCCCACAATGAATTCCGGTTGCTGGATGTTCGACTATCATACGAATGCATTCCATTCACGTTCACATTCACGTTCACCCTTGAGCCAGGTATAAAAATAAATTCTATTTAATTACTGCACCCACAGCCCCACCCCGCCCTGGGAAGACCCAACTTCATCCTACCTTAATATCGCTGCTGCTGCGAACGACAACATCCTGGCCAGCACTGTTGGTGGTGGCGGTCATCTGGCCATTGCTGGTGGCCACCAGATGCACGTTGATGTCGGAGCCCACCAGGTCGCCCTTACCTGTTGAGAGAGTATAGAGAAAATGGTAAGCAGAAAGGTCAGTGGTCAAGAGACTGGGGGAGCGTGGGAATCAATGAGCATAAAAATAGAGCCTGGCATTTGTCTGGAGGGGAACCAAGTTGTAGTAGACCAACTTGATGGCGGTGCTCGAGTTGATGACACTGCCTGCCATGAATGAATAAACAAGCTGAGATGACTGCCTTACTGTAATGGCCAAAGTGTAAATGGAATTCTGGCAGCCGAAACCCAGAAGCGAATGAACTGACAGGGTTCAACAGACGGTGAAATATAAACAAAATGAAAATTTTCGTTGGCCACTACAAACAATCGATAATGGAAAATCAAAAGGAAAATAATGAGAAATGGGAATTATTTTTGTAATATTTAATTTTGTATTTTTTTTGGGAAATACAAAAAAATAATATGCAAATGGGAAATTAATAAATAATATTTGTTGAACGAAAAGCAAATATATTTTGTTTAATAAGAAAATATATTTCAAAGAAAAGAAGAAAGGGTAATTTTGTAGTATGTTTAAACCGAGGGTCTTATTTTTAATTAAAAAAACTTAAATAAAATAAATAAAAAATGAAATAATAAAAATTAAATACATTTAAAGCCAGAAAGCACAAATAAAACATTCTTAAAAAATCAAAGGATATATTTCTATTGTTTTAAAGGAACTTCTAAGAAAAATATATACTTAAAATCAAAAAATGTATATATATCTATTTTTTTAATATTTTTAAATATATTTCCCCCTAAAATCTTACCCAATATAGCCACCACCATATCGTCTTTGATCACCTCCATCGATCCATTACACAGATAGTAGATATAGTTGAGGGCATCGCCTTTGTGTATCAAATACTCGCCCGGCGCACAAAAGTTTGTCTTAATGTGCAGCGACAAGAGTTTCAGACAGCCCTGCAAGGAAATATATATATAAATATATATTATATATAGTTATAGATATATATAGAGTACAAATTCTGGTTTAGTCAGGAATTGTGTTGTGTTCGCGGTCAGAAGCATTTAGCATTTAGCTCAGCCTGCTCTGCCTGGGGTCGCTGAGTTTTATTTGCGCAATGAAACAAAACGGCAACAGCTGTGTGTCCTTGCCCCGGAATATGTCCTGTGGTTTCACAGCCACCCCTTTCACCCATCCCCCTTGTGAGCCACATCTCCACGAAAAGTGGCTTAAAGCGCGCTTATAACTGTTGAGTGGTTTTTGTTTGCGTTACTTTGCCTTTCTGAATAAGCTTTATTAATGTTTGCAGTCCGCCTTTGTCGTTGCTGCGTTTTTTTCTCTCTGTGCTTTTTTTTCATTCTGTGTTTTTTGTCCGGTCATTCGGTGGTTCAATTCGTTCCGTTTTGTTTGTTTTCTAACTTGGGCCAAGCTGCATTTCATTAGGTGGTAAACTGTCCTGCTCTTTGGCCCTTGATCCCTTTAACAAAGTTAACCGCAATCGCATTAGGGTCTCGTATAGAAATTACTGAAATAGAGGGTCTTCGAAGGAGAAGGAATTCAGGGAAATTTTGGGGAAAAAGGAAATAAAATTTCAGACAAGAAAAGTTTATCTTAAATCTATGAATATCTAAGAATAAAATATCACAAATCTTCCATTAAATAAGCAATTCAAAACCTTTGTTTTAAACTCCATTGAAATTCCCCAATATATTTCTTTATGGTTACCACAGAAACTCTGAAGAATTTAATGCTTTGATCTCACTGGCTAGCATTCCTATAGCATTCCCGCTTTGTATATTTCCTCCCCTTTATTTTTATTCAATCAAAATATTTGCAAGCCATAGAAATCAATTGAAGCCCATCTTAAGGGGCCATTGTCTATGGAAGATAGAATCAATTTTGAAATCATCGAACTCATCTGCAATTGTTTTCACTTTGGGTCACAGAACGAACCAAGGAACGAACTCTTGGCAGCAGTTGAACCGTGGATGAGAAATCAATTACTGTACAATCTCTAGCCTAAGCCTGGTCTGCTTTTACCCAAATGATTTCCATTCCCCCAACAAGCACACCATTAAAGCTTTTGGCGGTTGACAAGGGTATTGACATTGGGGCATTGGAAAACTACTCGACTCGACCACACTTTGTTGCCGCTGCACCCGGTGGATTTTTGCGTACAAACTGGCTTGGTTGCTGGGATGCTCGTGTGCTCTGAAACTGCTGCTGCTGCTGCTGGCCAAAAACCTTTTTCATGCTTCGCTTCAGTCAAACGAATATGGAAGGAACCCGAGGCCCACAAGAGGCCAAAGCCAGAGCACAAGCATCAATTCGATGGCTCGGAAACTTCACCTGTAACCAGAGGCGTAGCCAGAGGAAACCCAACGAAAAGGGGGGATGGAAAATTATATTTCCCGGTTACAGTTTTTTCTTTAATTTAAACATTTTTTGGGGTAGGAAAATATTTTTATATATTTTATAGGAATTTTTCCAGAACCCTTGATAATTATATTTTAAAAAGTACTAGTTTTGTATTAATAATTTAATATATTGAATAATATTCCTCTTCAAGCTCTCTTGACTCTCTTTAAAAATCTTTAAAAATCCCTTAATAAATCTATTTAAACTTTTTTGCACTTAAACCCTTTTAAGTAAGTCATCTACACCCCTGACCATCGACCATAAGACGCTCTAAGTGTTGGTTGTGTGTGTGTGTCTGTGCTCGTGTTTGCTTGTGGTTGTGTTTTGTGTGTTCTGATGTGTATGTGTGTGCGTTAGAGCTTGAGTGCGACAAAGGACCAAACCGTTGGAAGCCCAAAAACGTTTCAGTTAAGCCCGCAGTTAACTTTTGACTGCTCGCATGGCCTTCATCGCCTCCTTTTACCTGACCCCCACCTGTTGTTGGGGTGGCCCTTCTTTATGCTTTTTACCCCTCCCCCAACTGCTATTCCCTGTCCCATTGCTGCTGATTATTTTGCCATCGCTGCCATTTCGTTCCATTTGTCTGAAGGTGAATCGCTTTCAAAGCGACATATACTTCGACCTTTGGAAAAAGAGCAGTCACGGTGGTGCACTGAGGGAAATATGTGCTTAGAATAAGCTTAATATATATTTTTTAAATAATAAAAATAGTTTTTTGATAGTTTAAGTGTAATTATCGTTTATGTTTCGACTTGTAAAATATTTAAAATATACTTTTTACGGATAATTAAGAGGTACCAAAAGGTCTCTGTCCAAAACAATTGAGAAATTTTAAGCAAGCCTTTTAGAAAGGATTTAAGACAGTAAAATCTATTTTATAAATTTATAATTTGTAGATTTCTGAACTTTAAATTTATTTCAAAAGTATTTAAAGCATTTCAATAAGTTTTCTTCAAAATCCAGACATTTTTAAATCAATCTAACACCTCTATTTCTTAAATATAAATATAAATAAATTTTTGTATATCTTCCATTTATCAATATTCATGACCCCAAGTATTTTCTTTCAGTGTCGGCTCAAACTCACCTGGGAGGCCGCCTCGAATATCGGCAGCTGTAATATTTCACGATGTAGGTGCATGGAGACATCGCCACGCAGCTCCTCGGGAAACTCGCGTAGCGTCTGGAATGAGAAAGAAAAGCAAGGAAAAAATGTGAGTTAAAGGTGAGTGGAGAGGCAAACATAAGCAGCACAAGCACACACACTCGGCTCTAAAGCCCTCAAGAGTGACGGAGATAGACAGAGATGGAGAGATGGAGAGCGAGCGAAAATATACACGTGAAAATTGAATCGCATGAAAATTAGAAGGGAAATGCTTGGCATTATTTTACTCTGGCACAAGGGAAATGCTTCAGCTTATCTGGTTTTGCTTGTTATTCATCTGCAATATGTAATACAAGAGGAAAGTAATGACAAATATGTGGGAAACGAATAAGGGGATACCCTAAGTTATGTGTTTTATAAAAGAAAAAGATAAACTTTTGATGGATAAACGTTTAAAAATATTTATAAATTTAATTAATTAATATAAACTTTTAATTAGAATTTTCTTTCATTTTGTTTTTTGTTTTATAAGCTTACTTTTTGGCTTAGTGTGACCGTTTTTTCTTTTACAGAAAGAAAATAAAATCCCGTAACTATCCCTTATTTAAGCTATAATATAATAATTTTATTTAAGTACCAAAAAATATTTATCTTCTAAAAAAAAAAAAACTTTTTTGCAAATTCCCTGCTACCCTCTCTCAGGCAGGGTATAATTATATTTTTCCTTTTTCTGCGCTCGCACTACCATCTCTCGTTACTTCCTTTTTTCTTTGGCTCAGTCCAAGTGTATTGGATGGGAATTGTCGGTGTTTCGGGATTAACATGAAAATTGAGAGAGAATTTGCATCTTGCTTGTTTACATACCCGCTTTTCCATTTCCCCCTTTCAGTGTTCCCATTTGTTTTCTTCTTTTCCTTGCTAACTTTTGTCTCTGCTCTTATCCATATGTATAAACAGATATACATTGCTATGGAAACTCTACTCTGATTACTCTGGAATATTATGCATACGTATGAAAAATGCATAATTTGTGCCCACAAATCCATGCGGTTGCCCAATTTACTAGAATATGACTCTATATGTGTGGGGATTACCACAAAATATTTAGTAATAGCAAATCAGATTGCACTTAATTGCTTAAATAGTTCAGCAAACTAACGCGTGTGTTTGTGTGTGTGTTTGCACATTAATTAAGGCCAAAAATGAACTAAATCAATTTCGAAACTCTGGCTGGGTCATTTTCTGTTTTGTAATTAAAAATTCACAACGCAAGCCAAAACACTAGATGCAAATAAACATACATAGTTGTCATGGCATTTCGAATTCCCTTCGTATGGCAAATGTATATATTTTTTTAAGAGGGTTTGAGTGTCCTGAAATAAAAGGGAACTTTTGGCTAACCAAGCGTAGCTAAACATGGAAAATATGTTGAAAGTTTTCCCCGGACTTTTGTTGGTTTTATTGTGAGCTCTTGCCTTTCCCTTTTTTTTTTTTTTCTGACTCCCCAAAGGGCAATTTCCAAAGAATTGTTATTTATGCTCCATGCTGTTCTGTGTGCAGAGAAGTGTAAAATATTTTACATTAATTGCGCACACACAGACACACTCGTTCTTAAAGTGTGGCCGGCCCAAAATTCAACATCATTTGGCTCTTACTTTTGGCAACAAACGCCAACATTTTCGCCAGTTAATTTTCGTGCGCAATAAATTAACAATTTAATTTAGTGCCACATCCCCGTCAAACTCTCATCCCAACCATTTTCCACCAATTTTCGGGCCATTTTCATCCGTACTCTCCCCCCTTTTCGGCGCCATAATTTGTGTGGCATCGACAGGTCTGGGTCTCTGGCGTGTGTGTCTATGTGTTTTGAGCATATTTCATGTTTTGGCTTCGTAATTAAATTAAATTCCATTTAAGCGATGTCAGTCAGAATTCCTCAATGGCTTTACTCCGTCGAGAGGCGAAAATCTGTTTTTAATTGCTGCTCAAATGCTAAATGCCCGCTAAGACGAGTGTTTAGCATTTCTGCCATCATCATATCGCCGACTAACTGACATTTAGCCTTATGGACTGACAGCCGACAGCCGTCAGCCGACTTCAAAGGCTATATAGTGCGGGGAAAAAAGGAGAAGTTTGCCAGAGTGAAAACGCTAATTAATTTGCAGCCTCAAGCCCCCCAAAAAAAAAGGAAACAGAAAAACATAATTTCACTGCACGTGCTGGAATAATAAGGTAAATACATATACATATCAGAGAGGGAAAACCAGGAAGAGCAGGGAGTTGTATATATTTTGAAGGCTTACAAAATTAATACAATAAACCTTTACAAATCGTATAGAAGTTGAGTGAAAATATATCTACATTTAATAAATATTTTAAAAAGTAATATTATAATACCCTTTGCAAAAGTTGTAGATGAAAATAGGTTGAAAAACTTAATTTTCTCACAGCCTTAGCTTAAGCACAGAGCTTCGATTTTTTATGTATATTTTAAAAGAACTTCACTAAGATTTAATCTTTTGTATAAGCCTAAAATCAGCCTTAAAGGATTATCTATATTATATTTTAAGAGGACACCAGCTGCAAAAAACCTGACTTTATGGCCTGACCATAAACTAATATCAACAAGGCAGCTGGCTTCCCCCTAAGCAAGTAAGCAAGGTCGCAAAGATAAAAGTGGAAATTATTTGAAGAGGTTTTAATTAACACTATTAAAAGAGAGAAAGAGGGATAGAGACATAGAGAGAGAGAAAGTTTGGCATTGCTCTGTGCTAATAGCAATTAGCGGGTGAAAACTCAGCTCTTTCGCCTGAAACTGCACTTTTGCAGCTTCACAGTTGGCCTTTTATTGGAGCAAAGTTTGAGTTTTGGAGGGGAAAATGCAAGTTTTCCTCGTTCACCTGGCCGGTGGCAGTGGAAAAGTTTCAACGAGCTTAAGTTTACAACCAGTCCCGATGATTGATTCCGCTCTTGACCAAAGAATCAGCTATTTCCATGCAAAAGTTTAAGTTTTCTCCCCACCAAAGCCTTAAATATATAAACAAAACATAAACACAAACAGCTGTATGCGATCAAAATAACAAAAGACAACCGAGAACAACTAAATTAGTAAAAAAAGAAGCAGGAAAAACTAGGTTGGAGGCAGAAGCTTCTCGCTTAATGCTCTTGACAGCTTTCAGCCAGAAGATAAGGCCAGGCACAAAAACAAACAAACACAAATGACTTGTCTTCCCTTCTGCAAAAGTTAATGTAATTGTAAAAATTTTTAATTAAAATGTAGATACCGCCCCGAGGGCCACACACGATGAGGCAAAACAATGGGGAAAGCCACAGGAAATGCCACTCTCTCTCTCTCTCGTTCCCTTCCCGCATACAATTTCGATATTTAATTTGAACTTTTCTGCAGTGGCACTTCCACCTGGTCAACATGGATGACCAATCAAAGCCGGCATTTGACCCGCAGCCAATCAATAAGTCACACACATGTCCAGGCCGAAGCTCTATATGTTAACCCCACGGTCATTTGCTTAATTAAAGGCTCCGACATTTATCGGAGAGGAAAGCCAGCCGGCGGCAGTCCTCCAGAAACAAACCGAAGACACAACTGAAACTGAAACTGATTGTGAAGTTTGAGTGAAGTCAGTCAAGTCGAAGCCACCGATAGACTGCTGTGTTGGCAACTTTGCCAATCATTTTTTGGGGAAAAAAAAAACTAAACTGAGAAAATAGGATATATTCCTAAAGGGAAAAGTTTTGCTGAGAGGAAAATATATGGAAAATCAGCAAGGTAAGGTCTATATATTTTTACTTTTAGTTTCAGTTTTCCCTTATTATTATTAATTTTACATTAAGTGATTTCCCCCAGTGTATTTCTCTGCATGATTTATGACACACACACTCAATCGAAGCGAAATGGACGTGTCTCCTGAGGGCATAAGGATACAGGCTACAGGATACGCACTGCTTACCTCGTATATGTCAATGCCATGACTAAGGGACCAGGAGGTCTGAAAGTAGTCCTCGATGCGCTGCTTCAGCTCCTTGGGCATCTGTAATGAAGAGATCATAAATTATAATTGCATTCGCTTTCGTTTTGCCGTTTCCGTTCCCCGTTTCCCCCTTTTCCGTTTCCGTTTTCCTTTATTTTTTTTTTCTGAACATCTTAGCGTTTAATGAGCTGCTATGCGCGCTACTTTTCACTTCATTTGCATGCATTTCGCGGTTGAGAGACGCACAAATGCGCTTAATTGTGCAGCGCATACGCGGCGTATACGCGACGGCGTGTGCTGCTTGAACGGCGCATTGCGTATACGACGCGTGGGCTGCCTAATGGAGCGACATGCAAGTTTGCCCCCCAACAAGGACATCAACAGGTGGGTTGCTCCTCCTATACGATGATATTCCAATGGAATCAGCAATTCATGGCCTTGGGCGAACCCCTAAGCAACACCATTTCCATTTCCATTTCCTGCCCATCGTTGCATGGCATATGGAAAATGTGCACTGCATTCTAATAAAATCCATCGAGTGGCACTCCCGTGGGGTGTCCTTTTTCTGCCGCTACCCTCTCCTGCGGTCTCAATTGTAATACTCACATTGTGCAGGGCCACAAAGTCCTTTAGGTCGCGCCATTTGCTCTCGTAGAGCGAGCGGCGCGAATACATCCTTTGGATGATGGCAGTCACGTTACCGAAGACCACGGCGTGCATCAGGGCTGTTTAATGAAACGGATGGAGGGATATATATCATTAAATCTGAAGGAGTCGGCCCAAAAAAAAAAAGGAAAAGTAATGACTGTTATTAAGGCCGAACGTTCTGTGATTTCTGGGATCTCCAGGGTGGAGTATTTGGCTTTTATGAGGTAATTTGTATTATCTAGAACTCTGAAGTCATGGTATGTTATTATTTTGATAAAGAATATAGCCCAAAATTGAGCTTCAGACTTACAAAAAGGAGTTTTGTGTGTGTAGAATAACTCCAAATTACATAGAAGATATGGATATTTTGGATATATAATTATATCTATATTACTAAAGTTCAAATCATATAATTTCAAGGGTAATCAGTGCTTATAGTTTGTTATCATGTGGATTATCTCAAAACCATAATTATAATGTCTCACTCCCCAGCAAAACCTGACCTTTCCAAACGAAAACTTCCCCCTACTTAAGCCATGATTTACCTGAAACTGTCAAGCTTAAAAAGAAAACGATATCCTTAAATTTACCCTCAGCAAAAAGACCCTTTTCTCCGCTTAACTTTAAGCATTCCTTCACCAAAAATATTTGACAGTTTTGGGACCCTAAAAATTCATATTGATATGGAGTACCCACCGCCAATGAGCATCATGATGATGGTGAAGACCTTTTCGGCTGTGGTATTAGCCGAAACATTGCCAAATCCCACGGATGTCAGGCTGGTGAAGGTAAAGTACAGGGCCGTGGAGTAGGTTTCCGCTGTGGTCAAAATGGCCACAGAGGCGTTCTTCCGCTCCGCCAGAAGCTGCAGCCAACCTGTGAAGAATACTTGAGGCATTTAATACGACGAGAAGAAGGGAGGGGAAAAAAAAGAAAGGAAACAGAGAAGAAAACTTGTTTAGTACGGCGTTTAATTACAATTTGCGGCCCAAAACAAATTGGGCTTATCAAATTGACAATGACTGCGTGCGCATTGAGCCTTAACTTTTCGGCCCAAAGGCAGGGCCCACAACGTCTCTTAGACATCTCTTCCAGTTTGTCCATCAAAGTTGGCAAAACTCGTGCCAAAAATCCGGCAAGAAGCAGTTGTAGCTACGGACCGGAAACGTCAAACGGAACTAACTTTTCGTGTCTGTCGACTGACAAGTTGGCAAGATTTTTCCACCCACTGATTAAGTGTCAGAAATAAGTATATAAACGAGTACAGTTAAGGTTAAGATAATAGCAGTAAAGAGGGATATATTGTGAGGGGTTTTGAAATATTTTTTAAACTTGGAAAATGCTTAAATTAATTTTAAAAAGATAATGTAACTTTATAAAATATTTTTCCTTTTAAAAAGATAAATTTGGTACTTGGAAACATTTAATTCGGATTTTATATATTTTTAAATACCTAAAATATGATTAACATGATTAATGCTGATCAAGAATATATATGATTTATAGGGTCGGAAATGAGCCCTTCCCTGATTTTTGGGCTTCGGACTGAAATTATTACACTTCTTAAGGTGTATTAATTTTAAATATTTATTCATAATTTTATATGATCATTTTTGGGCTTAAAAATTCAATTACTAAGCCAAAAATGCATTAAATTCAATTTGGAAAGCTGTTCTGAGTTAGTTTTTTTATGGTTAATAAATCTGCATAAAAAGATTACAAATTTAACCAATTTAAAATTTTTCGATTTTTCTTTACCTCCTTAAACAATAAAATTAAACATAAAATTAAAAAAAAAAATTAAAATTTTTAATTTTCTTGCAAACATGTCTAGATCGATTCTGTTTTTAATGCTGATCAAGAATATATATGATTTATAGGGTCGGAAATGAGTCCTTCACTGATTTTTGGGCTTCGGACTGAAATTATTACACTTCTTAAGGTGTATTAATTTTAAATATTTATTCATAATTTTATATGATCATTTTTGGGCTTAAAAATTCAATAGCTAAGCCAAAAATGCATTAAATTCAATTTGGAAAGCTGTTCTGAGTTAGTTTTTTTATGGTTAATAAATCTGTATAAAAAGATTACAAATTTAACCAATTTAAAATTTTTCGATATTTCTTTACCTCCTTAAACAATAAAATTAAACATAAAATTAAAAAAAAAAAATTAAAATTTTTAATTTTCTTGCAAACATGTCTAGATCGATTCTGTTTTTAATGCTGATCAAGAATATATATGATTTATAGGGTCGGAAATGAGTCCTTCACTGATTTTTGGGCTTCGGACTGAAATTATTACACTTCTTAAGGTGTATTAATTTTAAATATTTATTCATAATTTTATATGATCATTTTTGGGCTTAAAAATTCAATAACTAAGCCAAAAATGTATTAAATTCAATTTGGAAAGCTGTTCTGAGTTAGTTTTTTTATGGTTAATAAATCTTCATAAAAAGATTACAAATTTAACCAATTTAAAATTTTTCGATTTTTCTTTACCTCCTTAAACAATAAAATTAAACATAAAATTAAAAAAAAAAATTAAAATTTTTAATTTTCTTGCAAACATGTTAGATCGATTCTGTTTTTAATGCTGATCAAGAATATGTATGATTTATAGGGTCGGAAATGAGCCCTTCCCTGATTTTTGGGCTTCGGACTGAAATTATTATACCCCTTAAGGTGTATTAATTTTAAATATTTATTCATAATTTTATATGATCATTTTTGGGCTTAAAAATTCAATAGCTAAGCCAAAAATGCATTAAATTCAATTTGGAAAGCTGTTCTGAGTTAGTTTTTTTATGGTTAATAAATCTGCATATAAAGATTACAAATTTAACCATAAAAAGGCTTGAAATATATGAAAATTTAACGTGTAGAAAAAGGTGTTTTTAAAAATATTTACTTTTATAAACACTAAACAATCCCTAAAATCATAGAAAAATATTTCTGTTTTTCTTTTATTTCCTAGGATATTTTCTCTTCCGTTTACTATTATTTTCACCTCAACTGTACATCATAAGTGCTCCCCATTTTCCACCAATTTGAGGCCCCCTGGTGATTTGATTCGATTTGAAGCGATGTGCGCTAATCCGTAACCAAACTTTAAACCCGGCTAACACAATATACATTAACCACTCGTGTGTAGTGGTGCCTGGTTGAGGTGTATTTACCACCCCAGGGAGGAGGAAAATTCAGTTAGGTTTCCACGATGTGCGGGGGTAGATAAAAGGGAGATGGGAGTCCTGCCCTTTACTGTTGACTAACCAACTAACCAAATTACCGTTGGCACAAACACACACACAGGTTACGCTTGTGGTTAAGATAATAGGAGAGCAATCAGGATTTTAAAGGCTCAATTTAAAGTAATTTCCGGTAGTTTAGTTAACTAATTTATTAAAAATTTATAAAGGTAAATATAACTACAAAAATATTTATATTAATTAATTTAAATTCAAAGAAATCCCTGAGCAGTCTCTTCCACTATTCTTTTGACCACATCTGTTGCAGGACCTGCACCTGCCGTAAACCTGTAACTGTATCCCAAGGACCCTCGCACACACACACTCATATGTTACTCACCGATGTTGCTCTCGGGGAACCACTCGTACTCCTTGACCGCTATCACATACCAGATGCAGGCCAGCCAATGGGCGGCCAGCGTGAAGGAGAACATCAGCAATGTCAGTATCATGGCCGTGTGCTGCGAGTATCGATCAATTTTTTGCAACAGGCGAGCGAGCCGCAGCAGACGCGTCAATTTCACAAGATGGATGTGCGATTCCTGCGGCGAAAAAAAATATGCAAAAATAAAATCAAGAAAGAAACGAAAAACTATGTATAGGCGGTAGCTGCATTTCAAGGTTGTTAAATTGTAAGCGAACAATGATGAACTGCGAATGGCACGCCCCTTTCGCGTTACGCGCCGACCATTTGTTTGGTTCGGTTTCAGTTTTTTTTCGGTACTATTTTTTACCATTATATCCAATATTTTCCCCAACTTTTCTTACACGTTCTTCCCCTCTTTTGTGCCTACTTGTGGGTGACCCCTTTTTTGTAGCCTACTTTCCCGGGCATCTCAATTTTTTGTTATGTGCATTTGACCTGCCAAAGGGTCCACTAAAAAACGCACAAAAATTTGACAACTTCCCCAAAAATAGAGCCCGCATGCCAAAGAGAAAAAGAAAAGGGACCAAAAGGATGTCATCAAAATATATATATAAAAAGATGAAGTGGAGCTAAGAAGGTGGAGGAGCCTTAAGAGTCTAATGCAAACATAAACAAGCTTATCGAAGAAGGAAGAGCCCTGACCCCGGCGCGGAACTTGAGTAAATTGAAGGCTAATGCCATCGTTTAACCTTAGATGGAAATTTTTATTTCTCTTTTGTGATTGCCGCTGACGAAGCGTTGGCTTTAAAAAAATACAGAGAAAAAACCTGGCTTAAATAATAGCAAATAATAAGAAAACTATATTTTTGAAGGCTTTTTGTATATATTAAAAGTCTTTGGTTTATTATTTTCTTATAAAAAATTTATTTTAAATATTAGTTTTTAATTTACACCTATTTTTATTATTCTTCCAGCTCATTAGGTCAATTTTATGATCTGGAAATGGGTTGTCTCATCCTTATCTTCCCCTCAAACTCAATAAGCTTGAGAAGCCCAAGAGGAAAAGTGATGAAAAGGTAACACAAAAGTGGTAGAAAACCCAAGGTGGGCGTCGTCTAACAAACAGTTTAAGCCTCGGCATTTAGCCAGAGCTTCAATAGAGAGACAGACAGCTAGCAATGGCCTCGCTTTTTCTCTTTCATTTGCAGTCCTTACGCACTATTGCACACACAGTGCGTTTCAAAAATATAAGACATCAAGTCTACAGTCGTAAAAAAGAAATGCTCGTAAAAATACATATAACAAAAGCTTGGCTTGGAAAATCCCATAAAATAAAAGCCTTTTCATGGAAATTATATTTTAAGAAAATTTTAAAGTTAAATTAAAAATTCCCAAAAATAAATAAAAGAATCTTTAAAATAAGCTACAAACTTCTGCAAATAAAAGTCAAGCTAAAACCCAAGTTTATGACGAAAATTAGTCTACAATTATTCAGCAGTCTCTGTATACGCTTAGCTTTTTATTTCTAAATTTTAAAAGCACTTTCAGCACTTAATAAATGATGTTTATAAATGATTAATTTCCCTTAAAGCTTCCCCAATGACAGTCTTTTCTAACAACTCACTGTACAAATTGCGTGGGGAAAAACAAAAACGAGAAAAGGAAAAACAACATCAAGGCGACTTGTAATTCACATTGCAATTTATGCTGCGCTTTCACTTTCTGTCTGAGTTTTCCGCGCGCCTGCTTTTCCATTTCTCTCCCCTCTAAACACCTCCCTCCCTCCCTCTCTGGCTAAAGTTTCCGCTGCCTCACGCTTTTCTTTGTTTACTTTTCACTTTGTAGCAGCAGCAACAGCAGCAACAGCTTGAATATCACCAAGGAAACTTCCTCCTCCAACTCGTCAGTCGAATATTTCCCAGTGACTTACTGCCTTTTTGAGATCCCAAGGATAATTAAAACTTCGGCATAAACTAAATATGCGCAAAAGTTTCAAGTGCATTAGCAAGCGAAAAATAAATATCAAGAGTGTATAAAAATGTAAAAGTTTAAGCCCCCAAAAACACATTCATAAATGACTTTTGGCTGAACTTTTTCTAGTCGTGCGGCAGCGGGACGTGTCACAAATTTTTACAATTAGAGAACATTAAAGTTTTATTGAAACTTTCTGTGTGTCAGCAGCTTAGCACACGCCCCTGATTTTGCCCCCAAAAACTTTTCTCTCTCTCTCTCTCTCTCTCTCTCTCTCTCTCTCTGTATATATGTATAAGAATTTATATATAATTCTTCAAGCGGAAGTCGCTGAAAGCAGACTGGGCAGGGGGTTAAGTCTCTTTTTATTTGATCAGTGTATCCATCGGAAGTTGGCAAAGAAACAGCAAAGAAAAAACCGCAGAAAATCAATGGAACATGAGTTCGAACGAAAATTTAGCGCAAAAGATAATCCCACAACAAGGATGATTTGGTACAGAGGAAAGTCCTTGAATGGAACAAGGAATAAGGTAAAAATTACTAATTGAAGAGTTCCCTGATACTATATACTTTTTGAAATAAAATAACTAAAGTTTATAAGGCGGAACAACCTTAAAAAACATCTTTAAAGCTAGGATTAATAGTTAAAAACTTTTGAAAATTTTAAAAATATTGTAAGTTTAGAATATCCTTGAAAAAATATTACTTACACAATTCTTAGATTAATATAATCCTTCTTAAACTTTCCTCCACTCAAGAAACCTTTCTTTTGTACCTCAAAAATATTATCTTCTTCGCCAACAAACTTAATAGAAAGCTCTACTGTAATGGCATTTGGCCAGGATATCCTTGGACTGTCAATGAAGGCGACGACAGCGTTCTTCACTTGCCGCAATCAGAGCGCTGACCACTTCACAGGAGGAGAACCAGCCAGCCCGGGATAACATAAGCCCGATTCAAGAACTGCGCCATTGTCCTGCAACGACCGCTCGAGGGTCTGGCCACTCGGAACTACCGGACTCTGTGGACATCGGCCAATGTCATTATAATTGCACTCTGGGCTTTAAGCTTCCGCCAGCTTCCTGACACACTTTTTCCAAGAGACTCTGATTTAAAAATATATATATATAAATTCGCGCTAACTTTGCTGCACATTTGGGTCACAACCTTGTTGTGACAACTTTGGCTTGTAATTAAAACGCGAACCAGCCGGAACAGCCGGAACAGCCAGTGGGGGGGGAGGCTTTGGCCAATGTAAGCGGCTTAATGAGCGTCAACTAGCGGCTCCAAAGTGGTCAAGTGCTGAGCTGAGCTCTGGCCCTTTTTGTGTCATCTAAAAGGGGGTTAAAGAGTTGGCTAAAAAAATGTTTGAAATAGGACTTAAATCAGTGGAAAATGGTAAGAAAATAAAAGGGTTTTAAAGGGTTAAGAAAATAATAACTAAGAAGCTGAAACTGTTTAAGGAAATAATATTCAAGTTTAATTATATATTGGAAAAAAATTTTGTAGGTGTATTCAAGTTCAACAATTCGTAGGAAATATTAAAGACAGAAAACTGTGTTGTATAAAAAAATAATAAAAGAGAATGAAATGCTTTAACAAATAACTTATTTGCTATCTAAAATTCAAGCAACATTTAAATTGTATTTAATTTATAAATATTTAAAAAGCCGTCTCTGTTCTCCCCATTTAAGCCATATTAAAAGAAACAGTTGAAATGCTTTATTTCTAAGCTCTTTACAAATGAATACTGGAATATTAGGGCCACAAAAGGCAACAATTAAATGTATAAATTTATAATTCCTTCACATTTATTTCCCCTTCAAAGACAAACTTTTCTATGAGAACTTTAACTTGTACTAACTTCTAACCTAATTGCCACAACAAAATCAAATAAATTGTAAAATTTTCTGCCCCAACTGCTTACTTTTTCGCATATAATCCGATTAAGTTACCCTCCAACCCAAAACTGTAAACTTTGGTAGTATATATGCATAATGCATGCCGAGGCCAAAAACAGTTTTATGCAAATCTCTTAAGGACATTTAGCACTTGAAATTTGTGGCATAAATGATTAATGTGAGTAGGAAAAAAGGAGGGGATTTCGTCAATTTGTTGGGGAGTAGTAAAACTATGTATCATACCAAAGTTTTTCTCATACATCGAAAAAAAAAAAACTATATACAGCCCATCAGGTAGGTGGAATGCAAATCTGGCATAAATAATTCAAAGCTTGTTTGGGGCGGCTTAAATTTATGCAACTCTCTGGTAACGACGATTACTCACCTCTCCATCGTACAGGTCGGAGGCGTACAGGTGGTCAAAGGGCAATGCCGCCAGCAGGTCCAGGGCAAACCAGCCTCGGAAGTAATTGATGGCAATCTGCTTCGAATTGGAGACCACCTCGCCCTTGCGCGACACGAAGGTGGTGCGGAAGTTGAGCAGAATATCTGCAATAAAATGGCAATAAACGTAAGCGGTGAAACAATGTTTACAATGTTCCTCCCCCAAACGAGACAGATTCAATTCCCATCCTAAGCCCCCAACCCATTCATTCCTCCCCCCCCATTGATGATGATGATGATGATGATGATGATTGGAGCTCTGGGTTCCACAGGTGGCCCATAAAGGGGACACCAATTGATGTCCGATTTGCGGAGGCGAATGGGTTAAACTCACTCGCACGTTGGCTATTCTAGTTGGGGATTTACTGGGAATAGTTTTTAGATTACCAATGAAATTGAAATTTAAAGTGTAGTTTCATTGGCATTAAACTATAGTAGTTTTGAGATTTAAGACAATTGATTTTAAAAATAATTAAATATATTATTTGTATTATTTATTAAAGTTTAATATTATAAAATTATCTAGATCCTTTAGCTTCCAAGTAAAAATCTGAGGGTAAACTCTAATCCAGTTTTATTGGATTAAATTATAAACCTTACCTTCTTTTAAACACATTTTTAAGTGCTTTCAAATCTTCCGCTTAAAATACAAAACTTTTTCACAACAAAACCGTATAATACCCATTATGTTCCACAAAAAAATAAAAGAAAACGTTTCTCAAAAAGCAATCCACTCACCTACAATAAAGAGCGCCTCCACAATCACATCGGAGACCATCGTCTGGCGATCGGCCTTTGCAAAGGCCGCATTGTATGGAACCATCAGTGCCACATAGAAGGTGGCCACCAGTATGACCCAATCCCAGATGCCCTTGAACACCCCGTAGTGAGGCAGAATCAAGCGTGACTTTTTTATCGACTGCGTTTTGTATTCCGGAAACGGTGCTTCCGTTGAGTGCATAAAGTTCTGTGAAAAAAAGAAAGAAAAGAAATCAAATCAAATCAAAATCCGGTAAAAACATGAAAAGTGAATTAAATTAATTGAAACCTTTAGAGCGATTAGTGGCCAAAACGGTTTCATTCTTTTTTTCATTCGATCATACTAATTGAAATTGGTAAAAGTCACTTGAAGTTTCATCACTTCACCTGGAATTTCATTAAAAGTAAAGGTATAGAGAGGAAAATGTCACTGAATTGGGCTTAAATTGATAAAATAAAATGTAATATAGGATGGTTTTTAATATTAAGTATACGTAAATCAAGAATAAATCAAAAAAGTAAGTCAATATAATATTTAAAAATTATAACATGTTATAATTAATACCTTTAATAGTTGCCTTGTTTTATTATTTTTAAATATATTTAATTTTTAATGAAATATAAAACCCACACATTTTTCTCCGTGCATCCAAAGCACTTTAAAAAGAACACGTTTACATTTTAATTCATTTTGACGTGGGGCCAGTTCATTGTTGTGGTTGCCATCATGGCCACATACTTTCCTAGCTCATCTCACAACCAGCTGCCATCCCCACCTCCTTCTCTTCCTCCTCCCGCCCCGGATATACTCACATTTCCCAGCTTCAACTTGGTCTTGACACCGCCCTTCTCCGGCTTGTAGTGCCCGGACAGTTGATAGAGGACCGCTCTACTGCGTCGTCGGCCCATGTTGCAGCCAGCGGGTACATCCAGGTTATTGCCCTCGCCGGCCTCCGCATCACCATCGCTGGACGGCGGACCGCCCAGGCCGGGCAGGCCGCCGAGACCCAGCATGCCGGCATTGGAGCCAGCCCGGAACCGCGCGCCCAGCAGAGCAGCTGTAAGGGCAAAAACTTACAGAGTCGCAACAAAAAAAAAGCGCAAAACCAAATCGGGAAACAGGAACATTCGCAGAAGGATCGGATTTCGGGTTCGGTTTGGGTGGGTGGGGTTTTTATTATTAATAGAAAGAACAAAGAGCACAAAGAGAGAGAACACATAGAATTGTACACATAAGACATTAATTTTAAGGTTTTTCATACAATTTAAGCTGTTTTTAGTTAAGGTACCAACGAAATGCATATTTTAAAACTTTTATTTTAAAGCAAAGCCAAGTGTACTTGAGTGTGTGTGTGTGTGTGTGTATATGCATTCCCTCAGATGCTTGTCTCGACTTTTCGACAAGTTAAATAAAGCTTTTGGTCCTTAAATGCCTGGCCCTGACTCCTGGGCGCTTTTATGATTATTTTTGCTGACTTTTATTTGAGGAGCTTAGTTTTGGGGAAAACTCAGAGAAAATTTCAGCTTTTCAGGCAGATGGTGTTGGCTTTGGCACATTAGTTAATCAAAGTTTTCTTGATTATTTTTAGCTGAGATTTTAGTAATTTATGAGACACTGTTTTCTCTGATATCCTGCTCCTTGGGTGTTCGAACAATTAATAATTGCCTGACAAATATTTGGAGAGAGTGTCTACTAAATCAGGCGAATAAACATCATAAATTCACAGTGAAGAAAAGGCAAACAAAAATTCGATAAGATGTAACCGCAATAGCCCATTAAACAGTACCTAATTTTATATGTCCTCAAAAAGGACAGGTCCTGCTATAAATAACAATTAGCTAGATTGTGAAAAACTGACCCAAACTGAATTTGATACGTTTCCCAAAGCGGAGTATACTAATTACAAACGCAACAAAATATCTATAAAAAGGCAAGCAAAATTATGCAAATAAGCACCCAAAGGTACTCCCTCTTCTCTTTAGGCTTTTCTTGATTTTCTTTTATTTTCCTTTGGGTTGTTGACCAAAATATGATTTCAATTTTAAGACCCGCAAAAAGTCCAGTCAGACTTTGGTGCTGTCATATCAAAATGCCAATTAAGCTGGGCCCCGGCACCTCCCAAAACCGTAACCCAGCGACCAACCAATAGGACAAAAAAGGTCAAAGTGAAAATTTAAAAAATATATATATATATGGTAAGGGTATGCATACAATTTTTTTATGTATGGCGGCACAACATAAAAAAGGTGGAATACGAAAATATGCACAGAACCAAAGGGGAAAAGCGTGTAAAATTCACTGACAGGCCTAATGATGTGTGAAACGATGGCTACCATCATCATCATCATCATCATCATACAACTGTCACGATTATGGCGATAATTTCATTTTGAAATCCGCTTCATCAAAACTCACTTTATTATCAACAAATATTTTTGGCCCGCCTAATTACCTTTCCTCTACCAATTTTCCTTTAGGCTGCCTTTTGTCAGGGCATTAATTTCCAACCCCGTCGTGGATTGGCACTTGAATTTTCCCCAAAGCTGTGGAAATTGGTTTTGCCAAGCCTGGTTGGTTGCCTCTCGGACTTAATTTCATTCGCATAAATTAACGAAAAATTGAATCAGGCTCGGCCGGTGCTTTGGTTTGGTTTCTCTATAGATTAATTCGATATAAACAGCATTTCACTTGGCAACTAAATGGACAATTTAATGGAATTTATTACCGAATGTTGCCCAAATGTCGTCATGTAAATGTAAATCTCTCGGTGTGTGTGTGTGTATCTAATACAATTACACAGGAGACAGGACATCAGGCAGGACTTTGGTGCTTTGAGCACGTGTTGCAAGTGCCATATCTACGTGCAACTTGCCACATCTGTCATTGCATTGAGTGTGAATGGGTGAGAACCTTTAATTTTGTGAAATTTTGGGGTATATTGAGCTGAGGTATTAGGAGTTGAAGCGTTAAAAATAATAGTTAATGACAAAAATGTGACTTTAAAAATTTAAAAACAACTATTTTACTTCTTAAAGTATTTTTTGGGAAGTTTAAAAGGTTTAAAGTTGTATAAAATTTTTACATAAAATGAATTCAAAGCTGTTTTAAAATTCTTTAAAATTTTTAAGCTAAGATAATACTAATAAAAATACTTCCTTTCTTAAAAACCCTTCTAAAAAATCTAAAACACACCAAATTCCTTTCCAAATCCTCGTTCCCTGCACTCCCAAAATTTCCATCCCATCAATGCCAAAGCGTTGACATCAGCTCTAAATAACTTAAAGCCTCAATGACAGGTAGTTCTTACAATACAGACAAGAAGGACATTGCCAGTGCAGCAAGCAAATCCTCTCAGGACTCTTCACTGACTCTATATCTCTCTTTCTCTCCCTTCAAGTGGCTTCTGCAGGGCCCGTAAATCTGCAGGCCAGACCAGGACACACGGACAGATGAATAACGATGGTAATAAAGCTGCAAATGAAAAGGTCAGAGGGGGTAGAAGCAAATGAGGTACTGTTTTTTACTCTGCATTGGCAGAATACCCAGAATCCCTTGACTGGCGACACACGCGATCCGAAAGTAAAGGCCAAGTGGAAGTGCCAGGATAAGTTGCGATGCTGTCAGAATTGTTCGAGTGCTGCATCAATATTTCAGGCGACTCCTCCTGGCATCCTTTGGGGGCACAAAGGGGCACCAACACACTTACGGTATGTCCAACTTTTTGTCTGATTAATCCAGTGAATTAGGCACAGAGCATATTTGATGTAGCTCAACTGGAAAAGAACTCCAAAACAACCGGCAACAAAAACCGAGACAGAGTCATTTCACACAGCTTAATTAAGGTAAATGCGGCTATTGAACTCTGGGGGATTCAAGTTGGTACAAGTAAATCGGAATTAACAAGTCTAATATAGTATTTTCTTATACAATAAAAATGGTTTTTCATAGGGGAAATATCGAAACAACTGCGGGAAGTGTGAATAAATAATGTAAAAAAAATCCCAAGTCAATTGTGCCCAAGCTAATTAGTTTCCTGGTTCATTTTAATTAAAAGAATGTCCTTGTTAAATATTAAAGAATAATAAACAATGACAATACTTAACATTTTTATCATGTAGCTACATTTCCTACTATTTCTAGAACGAAAATCCATATAAAATTACATAAAACACCATAAACCTTAGTTCGATAATGCCCAAAAAAATTATTATTATAATGAATTAAATGAATTGTATATATACATCTACCATCCCTAGATCATTTTCTGTTGTAAAACATTAATTTACCCCGCAAAAAGGCAAAAGCTCTCTGCAATTGAAATTGCCTCCAGCTTCGACTTAAAAGGCATTAACCGAAATTGCGAATACTTAATGCGATTCATTGCAATCATTATCATTATGAATTCATTCAGTTTCAGCCAGAATTCGCCATAACCGGCCGCTCTCCTGCCCATCGGCCGGGAATATATAGCCACAAATCAGAGCGAAAAAAACTGCGCGTGAGAGACGAGCTTTAAATTAACGTTGAAATATGGTTACGCATACATTCAGTTGTCAGGGACACGCGCCGGCAGGAAAAGGAGGAAGGAAACCGTGGGAAAGGAGTCAAAGGAGCAGCCACAGCCCGAACCGCTGAAGCTGCTCCTGCTGCTTCCATTTCCTCCCAGCTTGCCATTTTCCGAGTCAGAGGTAAAACTAACCGAAAACTCGCCTGGCGACCGCGTGAAAGGCAAGCAAAACTTCTGCAGAACTTTGTGGAAATGCCAGGAGTTGAGGTGACAAGCTGACAGAGCTCGAAAAAAAACAGGTAGCAATGATCAAGGGGGTTTTGATCAAAAATTCTATTTTGTGGAATTTTTTTTTAAAAGAAATACGATTTTTTTAAGTGTTATTAAGAGTTAATACTTAGTATTTAAGTTCTTGGCTAAAAAAATTAGCTTTAAAAAAATAATATACACATTTTCTATGGCCAATAGGTAATTATGTTTACTTAATATATTTTCAAAAGATAAAAAATATTTTTTAATATATTTAATACATTAAATATTAAATATTTTATATAAAAAAAAAGTATTTTAAAAATGTCTGAAACTTAATTTTCCCTTTAAAATAAATTCTGTAAAAAAACCTTGTTTTCCCTCACAAAATAAACCATAATTCCAGAACACCTTTCCACCTTTACAGGGTATTTCTTGGGCCAAATCAGCCGCAGAGCTGCCGCAGACACCTTTGGTTTATGTCACAACATTCCGGCAACCTGTCAGACTCTACCAATTCGCAATATTTGGCCATCTGGATGGGAAGGAAGGGAATGCAACCGTTTGTATGTGGGCTGTGTGCGTGCTTATTAATTAATTATTTAAGGGTTGAGTGGTCTGTGTTGGCGGATGGTGTTTGTGGCTTTATGTGCTCGCTTAGGTTTTCGGCGGTTTTTTGGTTATATTTCAATGTTGTTAGCCAGTGCATTATTTATACATGGGTGTCGCCGGTGTATACTTACCGCTATCACATTCCTCGTTCACATTCATCTCCAGCATTTTGGTGTGCGTGATGTCCTTGTGAGAGGCCAAAAACAGGACCACATCCCGTTTCTCGTTCTTGATGGGCACGATGTCGAACAAGCACCAGAATGGAGCACCTGCAAAGAGTTTTTTTTGTTTTTGTGTCGTTAATCAGCGGGCCAGAAAATGAATTTCGCTTGCACTGCACATCGCCTGGCATCGCGTATACGTATTGCGTATACGCCACGGGGTCTGCGGTCGCAAACCTAGCTCAATATTTGACCTTCCCCGGGTGTGTGTGTGTGTGTGTGTGTGCACTCTGACAGTGATTTTCATTTGCGGCTGCATAATTGAAACCCCATCGAAGGCCTGATTTTGATGGACTTGCGGTTAGAACAAGTATAAATAGAAAGTAACCTCTCTTTCCTATTTTTAATTAGTTATTAAATACTTTAAAAAATCGCCCACCATTTATGGAGGCGCAAAATTAATAAATAAATTGCAAGCCAACTCAATTAGACCGCAATTATTGTCCCGGCCTGCATTTTAATTATCTTCCAGTAATTATACACACAGCCCGAGGTCAACCAGATCGAGTTCACCCCTAGTCTGCCGCGGCCAATGCATAATTAATAAAACACACAGCCCCGGCGTACATACGAGAAAAGAAAACCCCCTGGGGGAGGGAAGAAGGCGGAGGGTTATACTGGAAAAAAAGGAATTTAAATATTGATATTGGTTTTATATTTAGAAAATGAAATTTCTTAAAGTTTTGCAAATTATCAAACATTTTTCGTTAGTTTTTATCATCTTTAATTGTAAAAACCCTCAAACTTTTATTAGTTTTTCCCAGTGTAGCATCCCTTTCTCTTCCCTGCTGTTGGTTAAAAGTTTTAAACGCTTCGCTAATTAGAAAACTTACACTCAAAGTTGATGGATCTATCCATCTTGGGCTTTATCTCGGCTCTGGGCTTTGTCTTGATTAATCGTGACCTCATTAGGACTACAAAATACCGCGGCCTGGACGTGCGAAAATGTTAAGAGCAAGCAATTTATTGTGCGTCGCCCAGCATGTCAACGAGGTGGGGGGAGGAAAGCATAAGGACTCGCTGGTCCTGTGAGACCCAAACCGCAGGAAACTATGTAGTTGGAGACTGCTGCGCTTAACTCAATCAGGAGCAGCAGCAGTGAGTGAGTGAGTGACTTTCCTTCTCGATGCCTCGAATTATAAGTCAATGGCAAACTGATCTGGCAGGTGGTTGGTTGGTTGGTTGACTGGATTTTCCCTGCGGTTCCAGTCACAATTGATGGCCAACTTTTCACTTTGAGCCCCGTGGTTGTCATGGCTTTTGTTATGCCTTTCGTAGAAGGACAATAATACTTCCTTTATTCTTGCAAAACATTTTCCTTGTACAGAAGGACAATGGCTGAAGGTGCAGCCCACATGACTTTGTGGGATTATCAAGAAATTAAAAGCTGAACAAAAGCTGAAAATAAGCAGAGCTTGGCTCTGTCAATTAGTGTCGTAAAGGGAGTTGGAATAAAAGGTTTGTCTTTCAAGTGACACAAAATGAAGGTGGAAAGGGGATTTTAGTAGCTTGAAATTTAATATTGCAGAGATTTTGAATGTTAAATGAAATTTTCTAAATTTTTCTATATATTTTATTTATTTAAGAAAGAAAATATAGAAAATACTTCACAAAAATGGTAGAGTTTTCGCTATTACAAGACCTCCTCAATAGATGATATTTTGGTTTAAAAACCCTGAAAATTCTTAATTTAATATCTTGATAATTTTTACACATAGAAATGCTTGCCTTGAGGCATATTTTCACTTATCTAAACCCTTGTTTATCCAGATCTTCTTAGTTAGCCACTTAAACTTTCACGCTTTCAACCGCAGAGACCCCAAGAAACCAAAAATAATTTCCTTTCTAGCTAGGCATTCGCCATTTGCCGCTTCATCTTCATTTGAAAATTTTTAATTAAAAAGAAAATACGGGCCAGAAACAATTTTCGCCGCATTCTCCGGCGAATCGTGCAGGCGGGGCGAGAGGTAATATTATTTTTTTTTTCGGCAGAGCTAACTCACCTTCCTTCTTGTAGAAAATAACCTCCAGCTTCAGTTCCATTTTGGTGGAGAGACTTTTCTCAATTTGCTGCTTGTGCTCGTCCTTCGTATCCGGTCCGTAGAGGAAATGACATGAGCAGCCTGGTTTGTAGAAGGAGGGGGTTTTCCCGTTTTCCCGTTGCCAGGCAGGACAATTGAATGAAATTGCACGATAAACACAATACATTGAAATGAGTATTCAAGTGTTAAATAAGTTGGGGGCGTCTGTCCGCCATTCCTTACCCTTTTGCATAATTTGCGCGCGTGAATATCCTGTCAAATCCACGAACCCATCCGAGCAATAAACAATTGGATTGCCATTTGCCTGCGCATTGCCGAGCACAAAGTTCGAGTCTGAAATTTCGAGAAGAAAAGAGCTGGATGAGAAAGGGGAGCGGGAAAAGCATTGGGCCGCTAAGAACAACAAAAGGTCGGTGGGGGGAGGGAAAACTCGAAATGGAAATGGTAGAACGGATGGGCGATGCTGAAGGATGATGTTCAGCTGCCTTTCATTTGCCATGAAATATTGTCCCGACAAACAACGGTAATAAGACAAGTCCTGCTGTGTGTCCTTTTCACGGGAAAACGAGATTGACGGCCCCAGCTGGGCTGTCGCCTTAAAATGCACATTCTCCAATATTTGCCAGAGAAATGTCTCACATTTTCCTAAGCACTTGGGAATTAAATATATATTATATATTTCCTTTGTGGACATTGGCTATGTGAATTAAATATTTAATTTTTGTATTTCTCAAAAATCTAATTCAATTACATTTGTCTCATATGAATAGAATTAACTTTATAATTTTATTGTATCCACTTTCCTCCCATTAAATATGTTTCAATGCCCCATGTTGTTATTATTTGTTGAACCTTCACTTTTTATGGCTTTGCCATTTGCACTTGACCTTCAAGTCTGGAACTTGCTGGCAAAAAAAATATATAAATTTTATTGTTTGTGCAAAAACGCTCAAATAAACCGAAAAAATCTGAACAGCATTTAATTAAATTTTCTGGAAGCGAACTCGCTGCAGGAAATGAAATTCCTTCTATGCCATTTGGCCAGTTTCACATAAGATTTCTTATTTTTTGTTGGCTTTGCTCCCTGGGAACGGAAATCCAGCTAAAGGGTAGTAGTAGCTCCCTGAATTTATTTATAACCTTTCAAAGAAGCACAATTCAATAAGACAGAACTGCTAACAGCACGTTTTTCCCTTTTTATTTACCTTGTGTGCAATTTCATAAATAGAAATTTACCCAGAACTCCCCGTTTGAATCCCTTTATAGCTAGAACCGCTGTGAATAGAGCCAGAAAGAGCTCGTAATTGCCGACACAATGGACAGATTAGGATGTACTATATGTTTATATATATATCTATATGGAAAGTGGAAAGCGAACCGGATGTGGATGCAACAAATTGAATTGAGAGACAAGCCTGGCTGAATGGCAGCTCGAAATGAAAACTCAAATGGGGCACACAATGAGAGGAGGAGCTGCTGTGTGTGCCTGAGTGTGTTCTGCAACAATAGCAACAAGTCACAGATATGTTCTAGAAAATGAAAAGTAACTGCAATAATAATCCCATTTATTAGCAATCAAGCAGCTTTGGAAAAGTGCCAGCAAATTGTTTACAATCATCCATCCGTTCAAAGCTAATTGACGTTGCCGTAAGCAACTGCAAATTGATTGTTAAATACTTTATTTTGCTGACACCGCAATAACCAAGGAATTAAAAGTAAATTTACTTAATGTATTGCATCAATAAAAACTTCGGGGGAAAAGTTCTCTGCGGTCGCATTAAGAGCTAAGTGCACGCGTGGGTGAAAAACTAATAAAGCTGTTGTTTGCTTTCCGATTTGTTTAAAACTTGTTTAAAAATCAAATGAATTAAAGCTTTTATGGAGTTAAGTTAGAGAAAATTGCTCAATTAAAGATTTAGATTTTTGTTTTAATTTGGAAAGGTATTTTCGCATATCGAATATTATAGATTTCCTGCATCCCTAGCGTATCCTTGTACCTATTCCAAAGCATATATATAATTTTACTAAACACTTTTTCTTTTCACTTATTAAACACCAAATTAAGTGTGAAATAGTGTAAAATGTAGCTTACATTTTCTGTTTTTATATTTGTAATACATCACCTGAACATTATACTTATTTACGGAACAATTTTGACAGCCGGCAGCTAAATCACTTGCAGGCTGCTCTTTGTTTGAGTTATTTGCCTGAATGCCGGCGACAAGGACATTCACATCCTCATCCTCAGCCACATCCTTACGCTCAGCTGACTGACTCCGGCTCATTTAATATGCTCCCTTTATTATTTATGCCTCGTAAAACCTTTTTAATCCCCCAACTGCTGAGCATTTCATGTTTCCGAGTTTTGTGACAACTCGTAAAGACAATTATCGCTCCCTATGTCTGACTGTGAGCGAAATAAAACAATTAATTTATATGATGGCGGGAGAAGGGCAAAGTCAGCACGTGTGTGTCGTCCTGTCAACGGAAGCGAGTCGAGTTGAGCACGATTTTTCCCCAAATCAATCGATTGGGGGTTCTAAAGATTATCTCACTAAACTGAAATATGAAATAAAACATGTAATTTTACTTTTCCATTTTCAATGCTTTCAGCATTTTCCCTTCATTACTTTTGGATGCGAGAAATAAAAAGCATAAGAAAAATACCTTCCTTGGCAGCCAAACAAGGCGCAGTTTAATTTACTGTAAAGCATTCTCTTCTTCATTTCTTTTCTTGTTCCTCCCAAAGGAATTTATACATACATATTTTTTTAAGGTTTCCACAAGTCTGAGTCTTGGGTTTTGGGTTTTCGCGTTGCCTGTACGCACATCAGCACATAGTTTTAATTTCCCAACGCGAAAAAAGCTGCTTTTTGCATGCTTTATGGCCAGATTTTCAATATGGATATAGAACAACAATTCGTGACCGACTGGCTGCTGTCCCCATGCGCGAGCACTTAAGAAACACGTTTCTCCCGGAGTCCCAGTCCCTGGTGTCCCAAATCTGAGAAAAAGGCACTGAGAAATATTATATTAAATATTAAAATTAAACCTAAGAAAATATTTTACTTTGGGAAGCCGTTTCCTTATACAGTTTTTATACAAAAACTTAGATAGAATGAATTCTAAGTATAGTAAATAATTTTTAAGAATTTAAAAATCAGAATCCTGGAGTCAAACAAAGTCCCAGGCACACAAAGACACCTTCAGAACTAATTAGAGTTGGTAAAAAAATATATTTCTTATAGAAAATTAATTTAAAATCTAATAAATCCTAATAATAAGGCTTTATAATGAACTCTATTAGCAATAAGGTACTAACAAAGTCAGGAATAAGCCATCTTAAGTACATTAACTTTCTCAGTGCACCTACAAAAAAAAAGGGACCCGGATGTGAATACCCGGAAATCTCTTATGCGTACTTTTTTACGAGTTGATGCCGGCATTTTGGCTTATGCAAGCTCCATTTCCCATCGACGATCGCAATAAAAAAAGTGCCATAAATATTACATTACAAAAAAATCATCATATAAAAAAACCCGTGGACTTGGACTTGGTCTGAGGTGGTAGTTGGGGAAATCGCTTAGCATTAGCATTGGGGACTTAGCATTAGCATTTCACTTACGCGTGCCATCGAACCGCGTGGCGATTGTGTCCAGGAATGTGTTCTGGGGCGCTAGCAGCCCCTTGCGGGCTGGCATGGGAATGGTGGGGCCGGTGCGCCGCTTTAAGCGCTCCTTGGGGCGTGGCAATCCTGCAAATACATATAAGAGACAAACACAGACGATAAAGACACACATATTATAGCCAAATATTATTTTTAAACCGTTTAGAACCCACAAATCGAAACGAAGGGTGAACATAAAATATGAGTTATGTGAAAAACAGCTTAAAGTAATTGCTAAAGTTTTTTAAAAATATAAATACATACTCAAATATATTTTATTAAACTTTTTTAAAAACTTCAGGGTCGAAAATGGAAGAGAAAAATGGGTTCTTTACTTTTTTTTTAGATATAAAAATGTTACCATTAAACAAAAATAATTTTTAAATTTTTTTAAGTACGTTTATAATAAATAATCATTTAAAATAAATACTGTATATATTATTTCCTTCTTTTTCATATATTTTTTTATATATACTCTCTTAAAACCACTCAAAACTTTCACTGTATTTATTTTAATTGACTTTTTCAACAATACCCCTGGCATTGTATGCTCTCCGTTGGGCTTCCATTTCTTTTTATATTTATTTTGTTTTGATATGAAAATATTTGTACACTTTTTTTCATTCAGCTAGTTGGAACAATGAGAGCCACGAACTTAAATGGAAAACATTTCGAAACCATTTAGCGCAGTAGCGAGACGACTAACAACTGTTTTTTCCATATTGGTATAATTTTTTTCCTGTTGGTTTTTTCTGCCACAGGTGCTGCTCGCGTTAATTTGCAGCCAAAAGGCAGGGGAAAATGGCAACAAAATAACCGCAAACCGCAACACGGTGACAGCTGTTGGGGTTTTTTTATGAGCCAAAAGCCGAATTCTGATAACAGCTCAACGTCAACGGGGGTGCTGCTGGGTGTTGACATTAGGAAAATGCTGAGATTAGTTAAGGGAAAGAAAAGCAGAGAGAGGGTGTTCGAGGTTCCATAATAAATGATTACATTTAATTAACAAAAATAAAGCTAAAAATATATTAAAAATATTTTTTTTAATATAATGACAGTTAGTAAATGAAAAGCATAGTTTTCATCATATTTTTTGAGCGATTTCAAAACCAAAAACATACTTGAAAAGGTGTTAAAGGTGTTTTAAATTCAAGGAAAACTTTTAAGTTTTCTGAATTATAAACCATAAGTATTTTCCATCCCAATTCTATTCCCTCCTCACCTGAGTCACCCTAACACGTGTGTTGGCTACTAATTCCATGCCTCCTGATAACGTGTCCGAAATGCCGATAAAATTAACCCACACATGGCAGCCCGCAGCCCCATAACCTGGCTGATGAGAATTCGGTTAGCTATGCGATGCAATTTTGATTAATATGCTATTACACAGGTCAGGCCTCCTATAAATGCGGAAAATGCAGGAAAACCACTTGGCTTTCCAATCCCAGAGACACAAGGGGTAAACGTGTGTGTGTGTGCGAGATTGTACCGCAAAATTTTCATTTCCAACATTTCCGGAGACCTGCAGGTGGCAGGTGGCATATATAGCATATGTATAGCAGATGATTTCTCGCATCTGGTGAGTCAGGCTTACACACACACACAGACATACGCACCCGCAAACATGCGGCTGCGATGGCATTTGCAACTGTTTGGGTGCGTACGTGTGTGCAATTTCCGTTTCCGCCTTATTCCACATGATTAGGCTGATGATACTTGGATTCCTTTTTTTTGCAAGTCAAGAGTTTTCCTCTTGCAAAATGGAAAATGTATGTGTTTTTTTGTACTGCCAAAGTTAGATTCTGGCAAAAGATATTTCTGTATGAGAGAACACTAAGCGACGAGGTTAAGAGGTTTAAACTATGAGTTCAGTATTTTATTTCAATGTTTCAAAAATTATAGTGACTGAAATTGAAGTGATTTAAATTTAGTTTAAGTTTTAAAATATGTGTATTATATTGAAATTTTAATAAAAAAATTTATTTTTAGTTTTTTTGAACTAAAAGATTTGTTACCCTACTTTTAGACACCCTATTTAATTCATTTACAATCAATATATATTGCCCTGATTATTTAAAAAGTTTCAAAACACTTGTCTACCATAAAAACATATTTAAAATTAATTTTCTTTTGTACAATATATATTTTTTAGAGTTTTTTATTTTTGTAGTCCAGTGTAATCAATGCTCATGTTGTTTGCATCGCCAAAATTGAACCTCAAAGCGAATTTCCAATTTCAGAAATGTGCAAAGCTTTTTCATTCAGCTAACAAGTATGCAGCAGAAATAGCAAAAACAACCTTGTACGTATTTTGAATTCAGTAGAAAAATACGTAAACAGCATTACACGCACACAAACAAACACAAAAAGCAAAAACAAGTTCTTTTTTTCTATAAAATTATAAAACTGATAGCAATTACAAGTGAATGGGTGTTGTTTTTAGCCTGGTTTTTGTTACGTATTTAGTTGGAATTTTGTTTTGGGAATGCAAATAAAAACATAAAAACAGGGGAAATGTAAACATCGCATTAAAATAATTGCAAGCTTTTAATTAATTCGGGTGAAACGTATGATATATCAAATCAGAGAGCAAAAGTTGTATTCTTTATAAATTAAGACTCTAATTCAATTTTATTTCAATTTTTCCCTTAAATTACCTGGAAATTTAATACAAAATCCCATCTCTTCATATATTTTCTGCCTAAAATTAAACAACAAATAAGCCTTCATGAAACCTTTCCCAATAAAAGCTTAATTCCTTTTCAAAGTAAGTCCTTGTTATCGCCTCTAAGCATTCATGTCCCAAAAGAAAAGGTTTGAGAAATGACCCTACATCCTGGTCGATATGTGATTGGGCATTTTTGGCTAAAAACGAAGAAAATTATCTTTAAAGAAGATTAACAAGAGAAAATAAATACAAACCGCTCCGCGGGGATGTGAGATATGACCAGCATCTGGGAAATTCTTGCACGCCAAAAGGTCCGGCATTCATTTAAGCAAATTTGGCTTATTCGGAAGCGCTGCTACCTAATAACCACGTTAAGGCAAAATCGCCTTGTAAGAGGTCGAAACGAGTTTGGAATTTTTAATTCCACCCGCCGCATGTGGCGTTTTTTTTTTCTCTCGTCTTCTCTGGGGTTTTGGAGTTGGCAGGCAACCGAAAAAGCGGCACGTGCCCCCATAAAAAACACAGGCGAGGACAGCCGAGGTTGTCGGGGCAACGGCGGGAAAACTCACAAAAACGAAAATATGCTGGACAAGAACACTAGGGCTGGGCTGCCTGGGTGCTGCTGACCAAAGGGAAGGCAAAGGGAAATGGAATACAGGGAGCAAACTCAATTGCCGCAATTTTATTCATCCCATTGGCCACCTGCACACATGATTTACACGGGAAAAAATGTATTATAAGAAAATGTATAAAATATAAAATGTAAAATATTGTTTATTTCAGCAATATTTCGTATATTTTTAATAAACTTTCTGACATAATTATTCATTTTTTAATCACTCATCACCCTGGCCCCTTTTCTGCATCCTCCGCTGCTGCACTTTGCCCTGGATGAACCCACGAATCACCTTCTGGTGGTTCACCACAAAGTCGAACCAAAGATTCATGTCCGACTCAAAGTTAAAGGCCGGCATGGCGGCCATATCCGAGCGGAAACCGCGCACATAATAAGGCACATCCTTGGGCCAGGGACAACGCTTGGGTACATTGCTGAAGCGATCCATGTGCTTGCGTCCCAGTTGAATAAAGGCTATCTGGTTTTTATTCGATAGCAGGCTGCACCCATCGATGCCAGAGAGATTGAACAGGGTGAAATCATCACCCATCCTCCGTGGCAAGACAATTCGCATATTTACAAAGAACTTGGTCACGGGCTTTTGAAACTGCAACTCAATGTTGAAGGAAGGCCTCTTGACACTCTTGCTCAGGCCACACTTTAGATGCGACAATATCTCCTCGGGATCTTCGCTGTAGCAAGTGCAGTTCGAGAAAACCATGTCAAAGTTGGACTACAATTCAAAACACTTTAATAGCACAACATTTTAATAATAAAAATATAATAAATATGTACCTTGGCTTGGACAAAATAAATACCAAAAATAATGAACATAATAATCACACAGCATTTGCGATACATTATGTTGAAAGCAGCTCGCGTGAATTGGGATTAAAATTATATTATTTGCCATGGTTAATTGCAAGCTGCTCACTTGTACAGAGCAGGTAATCCATTTGACTAATTACCCTCATTTATAATTAGTAATGTATATTTTTTTTGTTGTTGTGTTGAGAGCGTTAATTGTCAAAGTGATTATGGGGAATTATTAATGATCCGATTATAAAGAGTAGGTATACTTTAAGTGATTTCAACTGAATTTTAAGGAGACATTTTCTCCAAGATATGAATTATTTAAGCTTAATACAAACCACATTTGCTCTTTGCTTATGCATTTCCTGTCTCTTGTTTATTATTAAACAATCAAAAGAGCTTGTTTTTGATTATTTCAGCTTGTTTCAGCTCAATAAACGCATCAATTTGTCTGGGCTTTAGGTCGTTTGCCGCCTCTCTACTATAACAATAATAATGATAATTATAATGCCATCATTAGTCACGCATCGACTGATTACTATTCAAAATTTTCGATGCATTTGGGCATTATTAATTCCAGTTGTATTGCCTAATTGTGGCTGCCGGAATATATAACTGCCTTGCGGATGGATTTGAAACCCAAGATCTCGAAATTGTGCATAGTGGCAGCCATTGTCTGTATTTTCTCTAATTGGAAATTAAAGGCAGAGGCCAAGGTGCGTATACATAATATAAAGGTAAATATTCATATGTACTTAGCTCGCTTGAATAATTTCAGAATAATTTCGAACTGCAAACGGATAATTTTACCTGCAGCAGCGAGGATGCAGACTACAAGATTATAAGGGAATATCGCTGTGGCTTGAACAAGAACTCGAAACGACGTAGCTGGAATATGGAATTTAAGCTAGCTCAGCCTGTAGGCGAGCATGATTTCTTCATGAAAATTGTCCTACCCAGGGCGAGTCCCTTGAAGGACTTTGTCCTGCTTGATCTGACCACGGATGGTTGCCAGTTGCTGGCCAATCGCAATCAGGTTCCACTCATGCGTTTGGGCCGAAATATGATGGATCGTTTTAGTAACTTCCCCAAGCAGTGTCCTTTCAAGGCAAATATTTCTTACTATATCAGGGGTTTTCGTTTGGATCTGAATAGCCTGCCTGCCGTGGAAATGGAGACTCCTGTTCACATTGAGTTTAGGTATCTTAGCAAGCAGTTGAGGCTCAAGTGGATCACCGGTTACCTGGTGGCCAGGGTTCAAAGGTTAAGCGAGAAAAAGCGACCCAATTAGCTGAATTTATTCAAAAATATAATGAATTGTTTTGCAAGGAAATCATATAAATAATAATAGTTCCCAGCTTCCCTAACTGCATTATCCTTACAAATTATAATCATTACTCATTTTCCTCCAAAAAATAGAAGGACTACATTTCAAGGCATAAGACTCCTGTCTTAAATAATAGTACCCTCTTCAAGGGCTTAATAAATAAATGTGCGTTTGACAAATCAGCGGAGGTGAGCATAT